TTTTTACTTAGTAATATTTTGGATTTTACATAATATAAGTGGAGACTAGCATTTTTGAGTGCCTTAATCTTGATGATGGATACATTAAATAGAAGGTCAAGCTTTTTGTTCTTTGTTGTCTTCATCAAGTCCTCAAAACCAAATAAGATCAAAGTCTTTAAATGTTGTAGTTCTAAACATCATATGGTTGTGAAAATATTTCTAGTTCATATATTTGAATCTTTTAGTTGGTTTTGTTAAAATGATCATATAATAAACTAGTTATTTTTAGTCTTATTTTTTCCATTTTGAAAACTGTTTTATAAAAAAGATATTTTTTAGCTTCTCAAAATTCCATGAATAAGGCGGTGGTTGTCATTATTGCAGCTTAGTCCAAAAAATATAGAAAAATCTTTAGAAGATGTATTTTCATATTCCCAAAATACTGCGAGAGTATTATAAAGTAATAAATAATAATCTTAAATAATAATGGGGTTAAGAAGGATAAAACAGTTCTTGAACACTGATGTACAAAAAGTACAACTAAAGTGAATACTCTAAAAGTATTAGTGACTAGTGAAACCTTGGATAGGTTGATCCAATTGTGGCTATTTTCTAGTCCATGTTGAATAGACACTACAAGAAGATTGGGCAACAACGGCGACACGTGTCGCCGCTAAAGGTTAGGCGTGTCGCCGCTAATACCTTTAGCGGCGACATGTCGCTGCAAATACGTCGCCGGTATTGTTTCGTCGCTAATACGCTCAATGTCGCCGCAAATACTAGAAGTCGCCGCTAATGCTCCCGTCGTCGCTAATATTTTGTCGCCGCTAATACGATGGTGTCGCCACAAAAGCTGTCGCCGCTAATACTCTTTTGATTTTTTTTTGTTTATTTATTTCACATTAAATTTATAATCAATCCAAATATTAATCCATATAGCATTTGAAAAATCTGATAATTTTATATAGAAATATTAATACATATTATACAATCAATCCAAAATATTAATCCATACCACATTTAGTATTGTTTCAAATTACAAAATGTTTCATAAAATCCTAAAATAACTACTCGTCCTCATCATCATCTCCATTATTTGGTGGCGGCAATGAGCGAAACCACTCTTCCAATGCTGCAGAACAGGCCGGGTCCTGTAGTATTGTTTGGAGCATTTGCAACTATAAAAAAAAAAACAAAATATATTAACAACATATCAGAATAACATTATAATTAATTATACCATTCCATTATAGCATTTACTAACAATTACTTGTGATTGTGGTTGTTTTTGTGTCATTGGTTGTTGCTGATCATACATAGACACAACGGTAGGGGGTTTACGCCCAATGCCTCTGATATGTCCGCATCGAACACCTACTATTCTTTCAAAACAATCTTTTATATCAGTTTGTGCTAGACCGCTTGCCTCATTTTAATTTATCAAACAATCTTTTAAACTAATTAGATTTTATAATTAATTTAATATTTTCTTTTTTGTTATTAGTTTAATTTATTAAACTAACTTTATTTTCATTTTAATTTATTAAACTAACTTTATTTTATTTTAATTTTAACATTAACTTTATTTTAAGTCACTAAAAGTATGTTGCTATTAAGTTACTTTTATAATTAATATAATTTGATTTTATAAAGGTAACTTAATTTGATTCTAAAGGTAAATTAATTAGATTTTATAATTAATTTAATATTTTCTTTTTTGTTATTAGTTTAATTTATTAAACTAACTTTATTTTAATTTTAATTTATTAAACTAACTTTATTTTATTTTAATTTTAACATTAACTTGATTTTACAACTAATTTATTATTTTTTTAATGTTTTTTTTAAATTAATTTAAATTTATTTTATAATTAAATTAAAATTACAATAAGTACGTTGCTATTAATAACCTAATTAAAGCTAAAGTTGTAATGACCAACATTAAGTTACTAAAAGTATGTTGCTATTAAGTTGGCCAAACATTAAGTCACTAACAAAATTAAACACTTTGAAACCATATACAATACATTACTAGAAGTAAGTTGCTATTAATAACCTAATTAAGCCAAATGTATACATCCAATTTGCATATTTCAATTTCATCCAATTTTATATAATTAAGCCAAATGTATATATATATATATATATATATATATATATATATATATATATATATATATATATATATATATTCAATTTCATACAATTTGCATATTCCAATTTAATTAAATTTGCATATTCCAATTTCATCCAATTTCATACAATTAAGTCAAATGTATACATTCAATTTACATATTCCAATTTCATCCAATTTCATACAAATATATACATCTAAGTTTCATGTTAAGGTAATGTGGTATAAGTTTCATCCAATTTCATACAAATATATACAAATATATATATCTAAATTTCATCCAATTTCATACAAATGTATATATAAATGCCAATTTTTTTTTCTTTTTTATACTTCAATATAATCTAAACATAAATTTCAAAATATACACAAAATGCATAATAAAATTCCCACAAATGTGAAAAAAACACACAATCCAATAAAATACATACAATCCAACAAAATGCATAACCAATTCATATATCAAAATACAAACATAATCACTCAACAAACTTGAAAAATACTCACTATTTATCATCTAAAACAGAAAAATCATAAAAAATATGAGAAATTCGACCTTGGTTGGGGCAATTTCGGAATTTTAGCTAAATGTCGACCTTGGTTGGGGTTGTGGCGGTATTGTGGCTGCCTTAAGGGAAGGAGAAGCTAGCACCGGTCCAAGAAGCAATGCCTAGTCCACCAAGTTGGAAAAATTGCGGGATATTGAAGAACGAAACGAGTGAAAGGTAAGTTGTGAATGACAGAAAGGTAAGCTGTGAAAGGGATATCTGTGTTTAGCATTAGCGGCGACGGCTATTAGCGGCGACATTGGGCAATAGCGGCGACATTAGGGCATTAACGGCGACAAACGGAGGGAAAACTCTGCGCGCCTTTCCGCTTTCCTTAGCAGCCGTTAGATTGAAAACAAATCGGACGGCTGGGTGAGAATGACTCGGATCGCTAAATGAAAGCCTTAACGGCGACAACCAGCAATAGCGGTGACACGTAACGCATCATTTACGTATCTTCGCTATTGCTGGCAGTTGCATCTAATGCTTTGTTTTCTTGTAGTGAGAGTTTTCAGTGGTTTTTTTTTATCATGTGAGTTTCACTCTTCTGTACCTGATGCTATGTGTTTCATGTGTACTATGACATTTATAATTAATATGTATGCTGGGTATGTTTGATGTAATACTATGGTGGGTCCATAGCATTTTCATGCTTGATGTAAGGCCATGTTTGGGTTTATAGCACTCTCATGTTGATTTAAGACCATAATTATGTCAATAACATGCTTGATGTAGACTACAGTAGGAACTATAGCATTCTATTTTTTATGTAGTGGTATGCCTCGTTGCATGTATTAGAATGGGTAGATACTGTGAGCTCACAAAGCATTTTCACTAACCCGTTTCTTATTATCATTTTTCATGACACGATTGGACTGCCATGAGGTCTAGCATACACGTTTAAAGAGTCTTATAGTCTTCAATTAAATTAATTGATTATATCACTATGAACAACCTGGGTTTTTCATTTCAGCATTTTGTTTTATGATAATATGTTTAATTGGAATGTGTCTAAATTGTATATAAAACAATTGGATGCTACACATTTTGTCATTTTATAACATTTTTCATCTAACTAATTAATTATTAATTAGGTTTTACTAAACATTATTTTATCGATTATCATCTACCTTATAAGTGTTTTTAGCTGCTTGTATGAGTGTTCATTTTAATGAATCAATTTGATCCGATTCAATCAGGTGAATCTAAATTAATTTTGGTTTTCAAAATATAAATCCGAATTGTTTATTCTAAATTTAAATTCGATCCGAACCAATCAAATTAAAATTCAGTTTGATCTGTTACAATTTGGTTTTCAAGAAGCAAGATGCTTAACAGTATATATATATATATATATATATATATATATATATATATATATATATATATATATATATATATATATATATATATATATATATATATAATCTACTTTAAAATAAATTGTTTGGTGGGAATTAAAATTATTTACAACTATTAAAATTATATTATAATTCAATATTTTATAGATAAAAAGCTTTTAAAAAGTATACATTGAAGTATTTTATTGGAACAATACTTTCTTTTAAAACACAAACTTTAGTAAATTAATAAATAACTAAAAAGATATTTGAAACAAATATATATAGAAATAAATCAATAATAAACTTTTATTCGATTTTTTTGGATTCTTTGGTTTGAATTGTATAAACCGTAATCAATCCGAGATCCAAAATAATAATTCGGTTTTACTGAAAACAAATCCAAAAATCCAAATATGAGAACCAAATAACTGAATCCAAATAATCCAATCCAAAGTAACTAAAGCATTGTTAGCTACTTTTTGAGGGACTGTCGTCAAAACATATCGCACGAAAATTGGACTCTACTAAATCTATGACGATCTTTTACAAGAGAAAATCTTTCATTTCTGGCCATCTAATACTTGATGGAACTATTGGAAAAAAACATGAAGCATACGCTCACACTGTTTTGTCCTATTATGCATAGTATACTTTTCATTCCATTCTCACATTTTATTTTTACTTCTGTTGATTACTTGAAAACATAGCACACAACCTGATTTCAAGTTCACGGATTTCTTTATCTTCATCATCACCAACGATGTCTTCAACCATCATCCTCCACATTAATTACCATTCATCCATAGGATTTACTATCGAGGTGCTCCTAAATTATCGTTTGGGTTGTTGACTATTGTATTAATGTTGTGCTACCAAAATAATTATAACATATCCCCCCACCCCACCCCCCACATGTGAATGCTATTAGATTGGGACACGAAGTATATGTAACTAAATTTTTTCCTGATATGATATTTTGACTATAAACCACTTATGCTGTTCATATTCACATCCGCTTTGAGTACTTATAAACCTTCCGGAACTGAAAATGTTTATCAGTTAACTTCATTAGCTTCATCACTAATAATGTCTCCAACAATCATCGTCCTCATTGTCATTATGCTCGTCGTATGTGTCAGGCTTCTTTACAAGAAATCTTTAAGCAACCCACACCCTCTGCCACCTGGTCCAATGTGTTTTCCATTCATTGGATGTACATTCCAAATGCTCCTAAACCAGCCTAGTTTTAGGTGGATCCACAACCTCATGGATCAGTTCAACACCAAAATACTTTGCATCCGTCTAGGATCTTCAACTCATGTCATCACTGTCACCTCCCCAGAGATAGCATGCGAGTTCCTAAAGAAACAAGAGGCAATATTCATTTCAAGACCAGACTTCATTTCTGCATATCTGATGAGTGACGGCTATCACACAGCTGCCATGTCCAATGGAGACCAATGGAGGAAGATGAGAAGAATTGTAACTCGCGACATGCTCTCGTCCCAAGTGCACAAATGGTTGCAATCCAAACGTGATGGAGAAGCCAACCAGTTGCTTGGGTACATATGCAATCAAATACAGAACGGAGATCACATAACTGATGGGGGGTTAATAAACATTCGAATGGTGAGCCAACATTTCTGTGGAAACTTACTGAGAAACATGATTTTTGGAAGAAGGTTTTTTGGGAAAGGAAGTGAAGATGGTGCGCCTGGTGAAGAGGAAACTGAACATATTGCGGCTATTTTTAACATCCTAAAGTATCTTTATGCATTTTGCATCACAGATTATCACCCATGGTTGAGATGGAAGTCTGATTTTGATTGCCACGAAAAGAACATTGATCGGCACTCAAAATTGCTCGAAAGTATCAAGATCCATTGATCGATGAACGGATACAGATGTGGGAAAATGGAGATAGAATTGAGAAAAATGATCTCCTAGATGTTCTTATCCAACATGACAACCCTAAGGTTACAATAGTGGAGATCAAAGCCCAGATTATTGTGAGCCTCTCCCCATCTCTCATTATTTATCATTACATGCGACTCCTAATAAAATAATATATATATATATATATATATATATATATATATATATATATATATATATATATATATATATATATATATATATATATATCGGATGAAATGCCAGCGACTCTTCGGATATTACTTTATATTTACAATTTCAATTGTTTCTGCATGAAAATTAACTTTCTTTGTGTTTTTCTGCCTTGCCTAATTTTAGGAAATAATGATTGCCTCAGTTGATAATCCTTCCAACGCAGTAGAATGGACAATGGGAGAGATGATGAATGAACCGACGCTGTTAAAACGAGCGGTGGAGGAGCTGGAGCATGTTGTAGGTGGCAATAGGCTAGTCCAAGAGCGAGACTTACCCCAACTCAATTACCTAAAAGCGTGTATCAAGGAATCATTTAGGTTGCACCCTTTTGCAGCTTTTAATCCACCTCATGTTTCGACGATGGACACTACTGTTGCGGGTTACTTTATACCGAAGGGTAGTCATGTGCTGCTTAGTCGACGTGGGTTAGGAAGGAATCCAAATGTGTGGGCGGATCCATTGCGGTTTAATCCGGATCGTCATCTACAAGGGGAAGAAAAGCAAGTGGTTCTTACAGATAATGAGTTGAGAATGATTTCATTTAGCACCGGCAAACGTGGCTGTCCTGCGGTGGTGTTGGGCTCTACCATCACTACAATAATGTTAGCCAGACTACTTCAAGGGTTCACTTGGGAGCCGATATGTAAAGAGCTGCCGATTAATCTCGTTGAAAATCATGATGACCTTAGCTTGGCTAAGCCACTTATGCTCATTGCCAAGCCACGACTGCCTCAACATCTCTACCCAAAAATTTGAAAAGAATTTGGTTTTCACGCTTGATTATCATAAATAAGATGATGTTTATGGTTTTAGAAAAAAACTAATAATGTCATCTACATTCTGTGTACCATATATCTATATCTATATTCATATTATTGTATAAAATATATTAATACATTAAGAAGTACAAGTTAATAGGCACCTATTCTTCTTTCAAAATCCGATTTGTACGCCTCCATATGTTTTTATTTAGGCTATTGGAATTTGGTTTAGATTACTATATGTGTATCTACTTTTTTTTAGTGAGTAGGGCTTTATATTATTATTATTTTTTTAATTATGTTTTTTTTTTATGGTTAATATTTTAGGCTGATCCAAAAAGAAAACGCATACCAATACCAGTAAAGATTATGTTTTTTTTTTCCAAAGTAACCAAAGGTAAACCTCAAAAGAGAAAAATCCGTAAACCCAAGCATTTGCTTTGTTTTTCGCAGGTGACATTGCGTCCTAATTTTGCCTGTTTTTCTTATCAATATCATATTCTAATTCCCAAACTTACTCGATTTTTTAATTATATACAAATCTATAGATTTCAATTTTGAAATGTGTCTCCCTATTGCAGCCACTCAAGTAGCAACCGACATATCTTGATACTCATATTCTATAGGTGATCAAGAGATACAATCTTATTTCTTACTCTTCTAGGAAATCAATAAATCTCCATGAAAATATAATATCCGATATTAGAGTTACGAACATAGACATTACTATCCAGTTCCAAAGAGAAGGACCAGATTTGACTGCACTGAATCCCCTAAAGGTTTTCTTCGCATTGATTATAAATATCTTACTGTGATGTTTGAGTGATACCTTTTACTATGATTGGTTTTTAAACAAATATTTTTGAGGATTTGATGGTTTGAAAATTAATATTTTTATTAGTAATTTTGGGACGTTACAAGTTGGTATCAGAGTCTTGGTTTGAGGGATTTGGACACAGTCTCAGTTGTGTTTGACCTCAAACTGAAGAATTGATAATCTTTTCGAAAGAAAAATAAATTTTATAAAAAAGACATTTATAAAGAAAATGAGTGTGATATAAGCAATCAATCGAGCTCAAAGTGATTCTGTAACATCCTAAAAATTTCATGCCAAATTAAAACTTTTTCAAAACATTTAAAACCATTCATCATTACAAAGTTTGTTTTCAAAACATCTAATATCAGAGTTTTCCTATAAACATAAACAAATCATGAGGAGCTCTATGATCATGCCTTCGCCTTACTACGATCCATGATGTACCTAAAACAAATAACTGAAATTGTAAGTCCGAAAGCTTAGTAGGATCTCCCAAAATACCAACGCCATACAAATATAACCACATCATATAACAATTACAGAACAACATGCATAATAAGCCTTCATCCTAACTGGACCGCCTCACAAGGCCTACAGCCAATCTGGACCGCTCCCGAGCCTTCGGCACGACTGGGCTGCCTCGCAGGGCCTACAACCTATCTTTAACATCCAAAAACCTAGGTATACCTTGTGAACCCTAATCCTTGAAACATTTGTCCATATTGGTCCTTGATAAGAAAAGGGGGGGGGGGGTAGACTCGTACGCACGACGTATTGGAGTGTACTCTCAGCGTACTCATGCGCTTGTTTGATGGTGGAGGGCCGCCTAGTACGTCGGGCGTACCAAGGTGTACGTGGGGCGTACCAGGCCTAGCTTGTCACCCTAGTATTTATTGAGTCCCATATTTAAAGAGTGTTATGGCCTCCTTGTACCCACCATTTCCAAAGACTTATCCTCCCCAAAACCCTAAATCTCATTCTTGTAGCAAGAGAGTGCCTTTGAGAGCTTGTGGGTGTGTTCTTAAGCATTAGAAGTGGAAAGGAAGCTTTGGAGAAGAAGGAGTTAGAGCCCAAGCTCTTGGATCTGAGCTTTGAAGTGACAGAAGCTTCATTTGGAGGTAAAAAGCTCCAAGCTTTCCGACTCTTTTGTTTGTGTTCATATGTGGGATGTTTTAGGGTTTTTGTCCCCAAAATTGATAGCTTTATGATTTGAAAAGCCCCTAGAACCTGAGATCTGTCCCATGTTGGCTTATTTTGTGTTATTGAGCCATAAAAATCTAATCTTGGTCATTAAGAGTTGAGCATGCATAATTTATGAGTGTTTTAAGGAAGGAAATGGCATGATTTAGGGGTTGGTGACCTTTAAAGCCATGCAAAGGCTTAAAGTCACTACTTTATGGATTAAGAGGCCTGAGAGTAACTACATCTAGGACTTGAGTCTTTATCTTAGCCGATTCAGACCAAAAACCACGAGAAGTGTGAAACTAGGACTTACGTCGGGCGTAATCCTAATACACATAGCATATGGGGTCGAGTTCCCCGTTTTTGGTTAGCCATGGAGTACGTCTCACAAGCAGAGCTGGTACGCGCCGCGTACTCCCGCTGTTGACTTTTGTTGAATTTTTGGGTTTGGTCAAGATTGAGGACTATAAACCTTGGGAGGGGTAAAATGGTATTTTACCCTTCTGTGAGTTGTACAAGGGTTAGTCTAGCTTCTTGAGGGACAATATTAGTTAGGGATAATTATTATGTGCTAGGAGGGATCTAGACCCAGGAGTAGAGATCACAATCTCGATTGGGAGATTTTCATTCATTAGCTTACGAGGTGAGTCTTCTCACTATACTTATCTTGAGTGGTAAACCTTATGTGTGACCAGAGGGTCTTATGTGCATGAACTGTGTAGTGAAATATCCTGCTATTTACTTGTTTTATGCTTTATGAGTATTATATTGTGATGCTGAGTTTAGGGACCAGAGGGTCCATATGAGTTGTGGGACCAGAGGGTCCCACTAAGACACATTGACCAGAGGGTCTAATTGAGTTACAACCTCGAGTGGCTAATGTGTTGTGTGTGGTTTCTTGGGGAACTCTCTAAGCTTTTATGCTTACCGTGTTATGTGTTATGTGTTTCAGGTAGTTCCGAGGATCACAGCAAGGCACCGACATGATTGTACACACCGACAAGAGACTGTTCTTATGATTCTGGGATTGTGTTTTCTTTTGGTGACATTTGAGACATATGTGTTTTGAGAATTATGTTACAAGTTTTCATTGTGTTAAATATGAAAAAAAATTGGTTTAAGAAATTATGTCGTTACACTATCCGGACTGCTCACCGGGTATGTTGGCCTACAGAACAAAGCAGGACCGCCTCAACCCAACCCCCAATCAACAAAAAAACATGTGCACATAAATATCACACGCTAGCTCATATCATATAACAGTCAAAACGTTCTATCAGATCACTAATCATAACAACATCCCCAATAACTAGGGTATTGACCTAACCGGTCACTAATATAGCATCATCCTATAACTGAAACATTGACCTAACCAGGTTACTACGCATAAGCATATCACCATCCTAACTACCAGGATGTAGTCAATAAACATATCATGCCATAACCAGATACAATCCATAAAGGGCCTGCCTTGGTGCCTTAGACCCTGTTAATATAGTGAGGATAACTCACCTCGTACTGTCGACTCGAAGATAAACTCAAGCTCTTGGATTACTGCCACAAACTCCACCACCTATATTCATTGTAAACCATACTTGTAAATTTCCAATCTTTCCAAAATGTCCTCCAAAAGTCAATTGGTTAACCCATGGTCAAATTCAAAGTTAACTGTTAAGGTCAATAGTCCATGTTAACCTCAACTCATCGAGTACCCTCAGCTACACTCCGAGTTTCTTGCAATACTTGTCCGCTCTCCGAGTCACCACAATGACTCGTCGAGTTCCTAAGGCTCGTAGTCGAAGCTCCATGGCCACTCATCGATTTTTCCCCCTTGCAACTCAACAAGTTCACATGCATCCAACAGTTGGGAAAAACCCTAACCGACTCGTCGAGTCACTCTACTCACTCGCCGAGTCTTTGACAATCTTCATCGGACTCGCCGAATTGGTCATCTAACTCGTCGAGTGCAGGACCATCTTCATATGACTTGCCGAGATAACCATGCGACTCGCCAAGTCCCTTTAACCCTTCATCCATACAGATGCTTTTAAGCCATGCAAGGCCTTCAAACTACAGATCTAAGCTCTTACGGAGTGTTTATCATGTAAATTTGCAAAATTTACGTGCATGCAAGATGATAATGGCCCAAAACAAGTTAAAGAAGTGGCTCAAGGAAAGGAAAGGTCATAGCTTGTCAAGGACTGAAAATTTATGACAAAGAGGGGCTAAAGGAGTCCAGATCTAAGGTTGCAACCTGAGATCTTGACCCAAATCCGAGAATCACCACACAAAATCCTAAAAGAGCCCCAAACCCATAAATGGAGAGATCTAACTAAAAGAGAGTCAAGGTAACAACTTGTTGCCTCCAAAATGATTCCAAGACAGAAAAGAATCCGGATGTACAACAACCCCTTACTCCAAACTTCTTGAACTGCAAGCTTTTACTCCAAAAATCCCTCTTCCAAGCTAAGAAGTATAGGAACCAAACACGAATTAGGGTTTCTGAACTCAAGGGAGGAAGTAAGAGAGGATAAGGGGGATAAGTGGTCCTTAAATAGGGTGCAAAACCCTGGAAATTAGGGTTTCATCCTCCAGCTCCTACTCCTCGAGTCCCTTCTTGGACTCGGAGAGTAGGTTACTAAAACACGCGGACCAACCCGTTGCTACTCGACGAGTAGGGTATCCAACTCGTCGAGTAGACCTTGAAATCAATACAATTGTCACAAAACCAATACCTGAAAAATCGAGGCGTTACAGATTCCCAAAATACACATATATGTGTATTATGCTTAATATGTTATTATGTTAGTTGCATTCTTGATTAGGGCTATGGATACCTTTTTGAATTTCATGATAGAATTTCCTAATTTTTGTGATGCCTTGTAGCTTAGGAGGAATTAGATGTTTTATAGTACTTGCAGTCTATATTGGAAAAGTTAATTGTTAAGTGTATGTATAAAATTTGTATACGATTAAGATCACATGGTCTTAGAATG